TTTATATATATATATACACATATATATATATAATTTTTTTTTATAAATATATAAGCTAGAATATGTTACACTATACAAAATAGGGGAAGGAGATGCCTAACAAAATAAAAACCTTCGCCTTCCCCACTGTTCAAAGATCATTCTAAAATCACGCCTATTTACATTGGACACTTATTTAATGAATAGATTAAACTGATATCAGTTGAGAAACTTACGGCAACGTTTCGTTCCGCAAGTACATGGGATTTTATCCTCCTCAAATGGAAACTTGTAATCGTATGTGAGTTCTTCGCCGCAAATGATTTTGCGAAGAGCGAATATTATAATGTGCTTGTATCCAAGTATTTCCACCACTTTCGAATAACAGTTGGGCTGAAAATTTCAAAGAAAACACGTTTAGAAATTGCCTTTTATTCACTTGTTGCGTCATACTCACGTCACACGAATGATTAATAAATCGAGCTGCATTTCCCTTCATTGTTGCATCCACAACCAAATTATCATCGATACGAAACATGTAGCATCCAATTCCTTTAGAGTTGTAGTACCTTTCCCTTTTATCTGTTAACACCGACCTTATGACCTATTTAAAATAACAAAAGTTTTAATTAGAGGTGATGGTATAATAAACATTTGTCTATAGAATACTGAATTATATAATTTGCCGCTAAAAAATACATGCTCTTTAAACTTTCATATATTTAACTATATAAAATATAAAACATGTCGTAAGTCGAATCTGACATCTTTAGATTATTACACACAATAATTCAACCAAGTTATAATCAGAATTTATTGAGGTAGTAAATTATTGTATAAGAATTCTGCCAAGAAATAATATTGAATTCTTTTAAGATAGTTATGAAAAATCTTACCTCGCCTGCGTACTCTATGACCATTTCACCAGCTTCAATATCTCGTAACGAAAATAGTCCTCTACCATGGATTTCCGATCGATAAACCCCAACAGAATATTTTGATATAATTTTTAACGCTCTAAAACGCATAGCGATTGGTAAACTGGCATTGGCATTTTTTCTAAAAATAAAAATATACGTTAGATATTTCTGCTTATAACACAAATGAGTAATTATTTGTAATCTTCTTACTTCAAAACCGCATCCAGATCATACATTTCCAATGTACGATGCTTTGACGAAAGCCATCCGAACATATCATACTTTTCTCTTTTGTTCTCGTAGGGTAAGCAACGCCTCGATCCATCCTCGTTGTCGTCGTCCTCGATCTTCACCTTATCGTTGGCTTTGTGAAATATTGGTTTGTACGTTTTGCATTTTATCGCGTCGGGGAGTTGCTCGAGTAAGTATTTCATACCTTTCGTTCTAAGACCGAGCAGATCCATGTCATTGATAGACTTGAATGCAATATCCGGAAGCGCTGGTAGATTGTGTTCTAGTCTGGAAGTTTGCACCTCGTTGAATATTTTCCGCCAAATCTGAGGCAGCGAAGAATCCGTGTAATCAATGCCGTCATCAGATTCGATTTTGTAAAATATTGAAGTATTGTTGTTTTTCTTTTGAAGTTTGCTAGTCTTAAAGTCATCTACATTTTCCAATAGTTGCTTTGGTTCTATCATCGTATTTTCTTTGTTTTCGATGATCGTCGATGTAATGGTTTGTGGCTTTGCCTTGGGAACCTTCAATGGTGCTATCTTCTGAGTACATTTCAATTCAGGTATTTCTATTTCCAATTTCATCTCCTTCGGAAGCTCAGGTTTAATAATCTTATTTTCTTTCAGAATACCCGGCAAATGTATTTCTGTCACTATTATTGGTGTGCATTCTTTGACAACAACGTCCTCAAGTATCGTAATTTTCTGCTTTTCATTGTGAACTATTTTCTGTATTTCTGGTGCATGAATCTGCTTTTCTGTTGGCTTCTCTTGCTTCTTTTGTTGTACACTTGTGGGCATTGGGAGTACCCTGCTCATGGGTCTGCTGCTCTGAGTAACAGTTGGTGGTTTTGGAGTTGGTGTTACTATATTAGTTGGGATCCCTTGCTCAGGGACGAAGGGAGCTACTGGTAAAGTAATACTGTTTGAATTGTTAGCTACTGTGATTGGTGGATGAACCGGCTTCAAAACGGTCGGTTGTGGAGCCTTAGGTGGTTGCTCAACGTGATTCCAAGCCTTTTTTGTCATTTGTACGCTGCTTGTGACTGGCTGAGGAGGAATGTTCGCTTGTATTTGTGGTACAGACACTGCCGGCTGATTGACTATCGTATTCGGGTTAACTAATACAAAATTGCCATCAATTACTGGTTCTAGTTTGCTCGTCTGAAATACTTGCGTTGTTGCTGAATAGCTGCTGTTGGTAGTAAGCACGCCCGGTACAGTTGTGGGCAAGAATTGCTGCGATTGCATTACTGTATTTTGAACTATAGTTTCAAAACCATAGTAGACTGGTTGAACTTGGGTGACTGGTTGAGTTGTCCAAACCATAGACCCATTACTATCAACTATTAATTGACCAGCATCAACTCTAGGTTGTTGAATGATCATGGTTGGTTGCACATTCGGCACTAAACTGAGAAAATTGTTTTCAGGCAACTGGACTAATTGCGTTTGAGGATTTATTGCAGTGGAATTTATTTGTGGAGTAATTGTTGCTACATATTGCACGTTCTGTCCGGTTTGTTGTTGGAAGGGGTCTACGAATGGAAGCATGTTCGTTGATGGGATATGTTGCAAAATAACTGACGGCGAATTCTGAGGAAGCACGATTGTATTCCCTTGTACTCTAGATTTCTTAGCAACGATCCTAGGCCTTGGTCTGGGTTTACTCTGCGGTATTATTGGACGTACCCATTGGCTTTGAGGTATATTGACCATCGAATTAACCATATTTGGCGCGAGCATTTTAGTCTCAATAGCTATGTGTTGGTTCTGCTGCGATAAATTCATTAATGGTGATACTTCTGGTGTGTAAGGAACTGATTGCAAGGTCACTGGTTGTTGGATATCTATAATACCATTCATTTGATTCATAACTTGAGAATTATCGACCGAGATGATTGATGGATTCAGCGTTAGTGAATTCTTGTCCACTGATATTAAATTCGGTTGATTTAAGGTAACATTCTGGTTGATTTGATTCATACAAAATTGGTTTAATAACTGAGAGTTTCCGTCCGTCGAATTAATTGTAATTGGTTGATTAAGATTGATTACATTCGACTGTGGATGCGATATTATCGGCTTCAACTGTTGATAATTGTACAGTATTCCATTGTTTTCTTGTACTTTGGATTCGGATAAAATGGTTTGAGTATTCATTACAGTAGACTGTATTTGATTTTGTGTGGCTTGATAGGTGCTGTAGGTTTCAAATGACGTAATTACCTGCGGTTCTTGACTATCGATTACACTCACTACAAGAGTTTCATTCTCTGTTTCACTTTCACTTGTAAACATAGCATCACAAGACTCCAAATGCCTTCTGTAGCTGGCATTCGTACGGTAGGTGCATTGGCATTTTTCGCAAGTGACAGGCTCTTCGGGGATTTCTGGGGTCCACACATATTCGCTCTCATGCGTCGGTGATCCGCACTCGCTACCACTGGAATCGCAAGCGCCATCAACTTGCAATAACTGCATAAACATGCTGTCTCGAGAAGTTGCTAATTTTCTCTTTTTATTTGCTGGAGAATTATCCAATTGTTGAAATGTCAAACTGCACGAACGCTGCGGGTTCCTCGGTTTCATCTTATCCTCGATTTTCTGGAACACCTCAGACTTGCTCCTTTTAAGATCTCTGCACATTTTCACATCGTCTTCATCAAACTTCGAGTCGCTGTTCATATTCAAACTCAGATTATCGTTGCAATTGATTTCAGAGTTTTTAAAATCCATCCACTCTTCGTATCCGCTGAACATGTCTTGCACGGATATTCCGTCCAGCAAATCCCTTGGTAACTCTTCGAGAATAGCATCAGTCAGTTCTGGTGACAATATATCAGCGGCGTTTTGAGGTTCCTCGTAGTCTTCAAATTCTACTGCGTCCGTTTTCTCACGGTCATTTTGTTGCCATAAATAAATGTCCTTAATTTTTTTCTCGATAATATGTTTTGGCAATGAATGATCAACAGTAAAGTTTTTGTCGACGTATTTGTGAGATTGCGTGTTGAGTATCGATGTTGTGATTCTATAAGGTATTAGTTTCCAGGGTTCGGTTGTAGACCAAAATAGCCTGGAGCAAACAAAACCCACTGGAATTAAGACGTCAACGTGATCAGAGACGCAGGGCACAATTTTGCCCAAATTAAGTACAGTCAAAGAACCAACCATAAAATGGATTTTATCTCTTTCGCTAAATTTTTTCTTCTTGCTATCAACTTCTATGTAGACAGATCTTTTAATTTCAAACTCTCTGGGATTTGTAAGAACGTTGAGCTTATTAGCTATTTCATGAGATTTACAGTACATTGTTCTATCAGCGATGAAGTGGCATTCCGATTTTTGTGCACATGGTAGATGATACGTTTCGAAACAGCCCTTCAGGCAGCAACCTACAGTTGCTCCTTTTTGTTTGCATTCGGCGCACCGGATGGATCTGCCTCTACTCACTGCACTTTGTACGTTTTGCAAGGATCCATCAATTTCTTCATAAACTTCGGAAGACCAAAGCGCGCAATTCGCATGGACCCAGTCGTTCTGACCATAATAGAGAAGTCTTGCTTCTTTGTCAGCATAACCATCACCAATTCCCTTACACAAATTGCAAAGCCTTGTATCGACGATATCAGTGGCGTTCACATCGAAGCGATCGCATATTTTCTTATCCTCGTCATTTTTATCAGCGTGAGAAGCATCGCAAATGGTCTTGTTCAGGTCATCTTTCTGGTTAGGATCAAACCAAGGAAATACTTTCTTCAAAATCGATCTATAAATATTCAACAACTCATTGGAAGAAGTCGAATTTAAGGCATGCTCCATGCCTTCATTGAATTCATGTAGAGAGAAATATTCATTACAATTTAGTTTGTTCTTGATTTCGACCATACTCGGTGATATAGGAATCTTGGAATCGTTCAGCGCCGTGCTATTGAAGCTATCCTCGAAATCTATTTTGTTCTTGAAGATCGCGTTTACTTGTTCCAAGTCGCTATCCAAAGGATTGTCCACTTCTTGGTTGGTAGTCGGCTCCGTGTTGATAAATTCTAAACGGCGCGCGGAGTTCAAACTTTTCGCGGTTGGAGTACATACTTTGAAGGGACTTAACTTTAGCATATCCCTAGCAACACGATTCTTACTCAGCAATCGTAGAATGTTGTTAAAACAGGATCGCAGCTCCTTTTGAACGGCCTTCCTCCAGTAGGGCGTCGAGGCGTTCGAACAGAGGCGGCACAAAAACTCAACGGACTCTGGCAAGATGCTCAGTATTTGATACTGCTCATCGGATAATCCTTCACATTTCGCATGCACCCACTTACTGCACTTACCGCATTCCATCATCTACAGAAAAACAAATAAATGGGTTTACATTAGATCACACATTGGTTTCTCTCCTAAATGTTAATGGTATACCTTGGTGTCGAAATCATTGTCATCATAGCAACATTGGCATAAAGGACAATAGTTACCTTTGTTCCTTAACTTAAAACATTGTAAGCATAGAGCAACGTTTCCTACAAATTTTGTTATATTATCCGTACCGCAACTTTTACACCTTAAGCAGTTGGAACAAACCTGTAACGATCAAAATTCAGTTATACAATATAATTTTATAAATCTTATAGTTACAGTTGGTCTGTCGTCGGTTCTCCATTTAGTATTGAAGCATTGCGGGTGGTACGCCTTATGGCATTTCTGGCAATTGATCTTCTGCCGATCCGCCTCGCCGCAGGCACAACATGTGGTGCATTTAGGACAGATCCATGAGTATTTTTCATTTGAATTGCTGAAACTCCCTGGGGCCTGCTCCAAACAGTACGGATGGTACGGTTCGCAGCAGATACAGCAGTGCAACAACGTTTCCCGACCAGCACTACCGCATAAAAAACAAATCGACTGCATTGGAAAGGACTCGGATGATATAATATTAAATCCGTTACAAATGATCTCATCGGGATCGTAGTTTTCCCAATAATCAATGTCAATTAGATTCTGATTATCTTCCCTTGATATTTTTTTAATCTTTTTACTAAAGGACGGTTTCATCTGAAATAAATATATACGTTAGTAAGCACCATCAGTGTTTTTACTTGCAATGAACTTACAATTTCAATTGGAAGCATAGAAGGTACAGTGGCTTTTGATTTATCTTTTTTGGAAGGTTGAACAGGTACTTTAAGTTCTGGTTCTTCTTGGACTTCTGCTGAATCAGGTGCAGTAATTTCATTAGGCTTATCTATTTCTGGATCTGATTTATGTACATCAGACTTCTCTTCTTTCTTGTCTGTTGGAAACACAGCTGGTATCTGCCCAAGGACAATTGACGCGCTTCTACACACATGCTTTACTCTAGGACCTTTCAGATCAACTTTTTGTCTCTTAATATCTGACAGTGGATTCACGGGTTTCTCCTCTTTTTTAATAGGTTTTATTCGTACAGGCCTTTGTCTCAGAATAATTTCGGTATTTTCAAGTGCCGGTATTGTGTCCACTTTATTTTCTGCATTTGATTGCCATGTGAGTAAGGGTAGTGAACTGGAGAATGGTGATTCAGTATTAACTTGCATGTAAGTCGGTAGAAAATTCGAAAGGCTAGTTTTTAAGGCTAATGGCATTTGAAACGAACGGAGGCAAAGTTTAAGCCAACATGCAGGACACCTAGAGTTGTACGCAATTCTATTAAATTTCCATTGTTGATTCCGAACTATGGGGCAAGACCCCTGACCTTTGAGGCAAGTCAGAGTGGTGATGTTCTTATTATTTGAATGCTGTATCAGCTTTGATATAAACTTTCTACAAAATTCACATGTGTAGATATTAAACTTCCTGGCTTGTTTGATGAATCTGTAAAAGCGCACTGCACCACAGACTCCACAAGTGATTGTTGTTGGGGCACTTGTAATACTGGATACTTTTGTAGAGAAAGGTCCCTCCATACCTATGGAGGTTCTTGTGTTAATCTGCAGCCTGGCTTGTCTAAGAACCACTCTAGTCTTGCTTTCAACTGGTACCGGATCACTGTCAGTTTCATCTTTAACTTGTTCAGTTTCACTAACCACATCACTTTTTTCTGGTTTGACAACAGCTTTCTTGTTAATCACACGCTTTTTCACAATTGTTTCACTTTGTTCTATGTTTAAAAAACGTTTGTTGGGTTTAATGACACGCGATGAATGCACACTACGACTAGGGAGAACAAACTTTCCAACTATGTTGCTTTGCTCCTTTTTCGGACTAATTGAGAGCTTACTTTTGTTTAACTTGCTGCGAATGGTGAAGCCACGTGCTGGCCTTCTGCTAACTTTACTTCTAGTTAATCGAGACGAACTATTTAGTGGACTACTTGTTGATGTGCTTAGCAGAATGCCCCTCTTGATTGGTGTCCTCTTGCTGACAATGCTCACCCTGTCCTTCCTCTTTTTCCGGATCAGCAGCTTTCCTTCTGGTGTGAGTTCAGGCTTAGCTTGAAGGACATTCGGTTTGCTGCTGTCAGCCTGCAAATGCAAAATAAAAGTGAATTAGAAATGAGTGTATGCAATATTGATTGAAGGTTTAATGTTTGGTTATGTGCAGGATATTGTGTGATGCTTAAGGGGCAGGTGGACAACGCTAATGAAATTTGCACCCGCAAAAGGCAACGTTTATTAATGTTTTCTTCATTCCTATTGTATGTTTACCTTTTTCGAATTGTCGTCTGCCTCAACTGTCACAACAGTGGGTTTATATTCACCAGCAACTGTTGTGTTTACAACTGCAGACAGTACGTTTATCCGGGTCCTGTTCACATGTTTCGAGGGTTTCCCGGGGAATTTCGAACGGCCCATTTTTCAGTGCAATCGAAACGATCACATTTTACTTAACCGCTTCGCAAATACGACAAGAAAATCCCATCGGGTGCAATTCATTTCACTGCATTTCACGATACGTTCATTCTCATTTAGGAATGCGCAACGATAGGTTTGACGCGCACCCTGGCGGCCGGCCCCACCAACCGCCGCCAGCCAAACCGCCAACAATCGCGCGCCAAATTCGAATTGGACCCTCAGAATTGGGTCAAACTCTGAACGCACGAAACAACTGGAAACAACGCGCTCACTCCACTATACCAAAAATACCATTGAGTTATTACAGTTTTATCCATTTATTTGCCACTTAATCATATACAAATCACATTTATGCAACGTCCATTTTGATTTACTCCTTCTTTTTTGTCTTTCTTTGTTTGTTACAACCGATTCATTTGCCGCATTTCCACCAATTGGAAAACAAATTATTATTATTATTGTTTGCTTGCTTTCTTTCTTTACTCCGACCTTCTACTATCCTAACATTAATCAAATGTAAAAAATAATTATAAAAATATTTGGAAATCGTTTTTAATTTCGTCCGAATCGGTTTCATCTCTGGATCAAATAGATGTTACATACAGAGCTAAAATAAATTATTTCTTACATATTACGCGTAGCACGAACAGATATTGAACAGCTGTTTGATTATACGTTCCACATAAATGCGCTCCATTTAGTTTAGCCTGCAAAAGCTAATACTTAATGACTCGCAAATCAAGTACAAAAATATTCCAATAGAATACAGCCCAGAATACATCTGTCTCCACCCTTCGTACAAATATGCAAATTGGCACAACTGAATGAGTATACACACGCACAAACGTTCATTTTTTTCTTCTCTCCTTCTCTCGCGCTATTTCGATTCAATTCAAATATTGGTCTCTTATATTTATATTGTAAATAAATAATTCTTTGTTTATTGTATTGGAATCAAAATAAAACAAAATAATAATGAAGAAAACAAGAACCAACTCAACTCATCAAAACATCTCGTATATATATATATGTACAAATAAAGAATGACTTTTTTCCTGTCTCGACAAGCGGGTAACAATCTTAGCTTTTCTTAATTCCGCCATTTGTTCCTCTCTTTTTTTTTGTTTGTTTCGTTTTGTTGCCTTTCTTACCCTATGCTATGCTAAAAAATTACATACAGTACATTACAATAAATTTCATGCATATACATCTTTACTCTTAAATTAATATTTATCTCATTGCACGAGGACATGGATAGAATCTGAACATGATATGTAATCAAGAACGGAAATTGCAGTATTGTTCGATGATCGATCGATTGCAGAAATTATAATACGAATCTATTGCGATACTACTAAAGCAGTATACTTGATATATGTATGTATGTATATATATATATATATTTGATAAATGGTGTCAGTTTGTTTAGATAATATCCAAGATTGAGTTGCCAATGCGCATTAACTTTCCTCGTCCAGGAATTCGACGTGCGTGAATGGAAAGTGGCCCGTTTTCCCGTTCAGCTCTCCTTCCCATTGCCCATTTATATTAGTCTTGGTTACAACGATGATGTCTCCAATTTCTAGCTTCAAAGCAGTCTGGTCGTAAGCGTTGGGCACCCTAACTTGCTTTACTCTGGCCCTAGCCGGTAATTTGCGCTAAAACAATCATTAGTTAGTAACGACATAAATTATACATCAAAAACATCCGCAATACCTGATGTGTTTGATACTTCTTCATGGCTGCTTCACTGTTGTGAGGTGCTGCGAGCGAAACCGGTCCACCAGAACCGGGTCTAGGAACCTCTGGCAATTGCTGTCCATCTTCTATCTATAAGTAAAAGTACAGTATTAATCACTAATCAAATATCCAAGGACATCTAGCAAATAGATTGAGTACACTACTGATATTAAGCTAATTATGAAGAATAAGTTTTAATGATGTGGCAGTAAGATAAGACTAATTTCCATTAAACAGTAATTAATACTTACTTTTTGAATGTAAGGGACTGGAATGGATCCACGCATTCCCATGCTATTCACAGCTGTCCACCATTGTTCTTCATCTTTGGATATTACTGTAAGAATATCTCCCTTCCTGAATGGAAGATCGTCATTATCCTACAAGAAGCAAAGATTAAATTGCTATCCACTTATAATATATTGCTTCTTATACTTTTCCATCAAAATCAAATTTGGCAATGACTTTCTCTTGCTTCTTAGCTGCAGGTCGGATGAGTGGAGCAGTGTCCAAGTAATGGAGTTTGTAGAATGCTAACAGACTAGGCAGATCCACAAAGAGCTGATCACCAATCCTATATCTGACTTCATCGCTTTGTTGTGTTTTGTTTATAATATAATGACTAACCTTGCTGTCTTCCCTAAATGAATTAAGAAACTGTTACAGTAACAATCAGTTTACATATTTGTAATGACTCACTTCACACATAATACATAATCCCCAATGCAGGTAGCACTGTCCCGTATGAGAAACACTCCACTCTCTCTTTCAGCAAGGAGGATATCAGTTGCCTCTTGCCTGGTCAAAGCACCAAAATACCAGCTGAAAATTGATTAGATATTTATAATAATCTATGGGTGGGTCAAGTGAAACTTTGTTAAGTACCTGCTCTTGTCCGTAGTATCAAACGACGATGCCATGGTGATTTATGAATGCGATCAACAGTGTCCAACCATCCAATTTGTACTGGAGAATCTGCGACACGTTTAAGGTTATGTAACTGATATAATAACAAGAATATTATGTTTCGCTGTCCGGTGTCCGGTAGCGCAGTTCGCGATAATTCCAGGCGGTAAAGACACTTAATTTATATTAATTTAGGAGACTGGAACCACACAGACTCGTACTATTTCATTATTTTTAATATTGATTCAATCTCAATTATCACTACTTTACCCGACGACGATCATCACATACTTTTGAACTCTCATTTACGAACGCGATTTACTCCAATTACTCAAGGAGTCCGAAAATATGTGCGTTTATTTACTTCATAGGCAGACAAAACTCTTCCAGAATTTGACTACCGAAAACAGAAGACACCATTTTGCTACCTCTCACTCGCACCATCTACCCATCTCTATCTAACTCACAGATGACCAAAGAAAATCACATACCTCGAACTCAATAAATATTAATGGTACATTTGCAACAGGATTCAATTCGTTTGTTAACAGATATACTCACATTACTAATTTCTCAATTGTTTTCAATCTATTAATCTAAATTGTATAATGTATAGGCAACCATGTATACACTCATGATCTACAAGTCATAGTTATTGATGCGATCAATGGAAATTATTAATAAAACTCGCTAAGAGTAGTAGGGCTCATTGTAGAGGGAAATAGCTTGTTTTATTCAATAAAAAAATAAATCTCGTTTGTTCATAAAAAAAATATAAAAATGTTCTTGTTCATCAACATATTTTATTAAATAACCAAATTACATCATCAACTTCGGTCTTTCTCGGAATGTTTGAGCTATGATCTCTAATTAAACAATGACACTTATAAAATGATCATACAGTGTTTTCAGCTAAATCTAATTGTATATCAATTTGACCTGAATATCCATTATCTGGTATTGTGTTAAGGAATTTTACATAATCTTCAGGCAACTTGGACTCTACACCACCTAATTGTATTGTTTTCAAGTAAATAGGGGATGGTTTTCTCTCAGATGGTAAATCTTTGATATTATGTATAAATGATGGTGAGATAGTTTGTTGATAAACCCTACACTGGATTGATTCTCCTTCTGGATTAACTACATTCACTTCCAATGGAAAGTATATGTTTCTATCAACCCCTTCTTGTCTATCAAATAAATAGAATATAATACTTATTATACAAAAGTTAATCTTATCACCTATCCAAATCTGGCAAGTTTTTCATATCAATTTCCCATATTGCACCCCAAACATGAGCATCGCTTTGTGGTACTATGGTTGCAGAAGCACCCTTCCATCTTGAAGAATATGTAGCGAAATCAAGCCTGTAACCCTGAGAGACCTTTGAATATAGCAGTTGAAGTATTAAAAAAACATACCTGTAGTTTTCCAATTGCGTATCTTTCAGCACTGGGATTGTTAATCTTAATCCTTTGAGCCAGCAAATTGCTTCCATAAGCGAAGTACAGAAATGTTTTTGACATGTTTGTTTTTCAAACGATAAGTTTCATTTGACAATTTTATGCTAATGCAGTCTTGTTATACTTGCCATAAGATTAAACGTAAGAATAGATAATTATGCATGATTATGCAACCAAACATACATATTATTTATTTATCACTCAGTCATAATTCGATACGAAAGTGGTGAGTTTCAAATGCAGATCAAACAAATCTCGTAATAAGTGAAGTCGATAATGAAAATAAAATGTTTAATTTTGATTACTTATAGTAGATGTACTGACCAAACTACAATGCCGGCAGTTAACTTATTTGAAAGGTTGTAGTTTTACCTTTAATTTGCGTATTAGATTGTTTAATAATTGGTAATCGATTAATTTAAAAAAACGTGAAGGTATTGCAGTAAATTTAAAAAAATTGTAAAATAAATAAAAATTTTAATTTACTGTGCTAAAAAATAATGATTTCGCTTTCGATTGCTACAAAATAAATTAATTTTGGTCGATTTATAAGAAAGTTATTAAGCTTTAATGAGTTGGCGGTTTTCGCGAATCAAAAAAATCTATCGGAATAATCAAGAAACAGTCTGCAACCACACATACGTATTCCTGTTGCAGATTATTTCCTGCAGATGTCGCAACTTGTATAATTAAAATGCATATAACTCAAAATATAATTAGTTGTTTAATTATTAGACTAAATTAATAGCATTACATTTGTACAAGCACTATTTTCATATGTTTTTTTATTTAAATACGAACGTTTCTAAGGAAGTGGATTTTGAGCAGCGCCAAAATGCCTGAACTACAACCTTTGATACATTGTTAGCAGATGGCGCCAGCTGTTACAAAAAAATAGAATATACATTTTGCGCCCAAAGTGCAGGCAACTAAACATACTTATAAACTTTACTGAACAAATAGGAAAACAACGTCTTAGACAATGACCTGTATTTTCGTAAAAATGAAGTCCCAGAGGAATGTTATACATGTTTGTTGATCTTGAATATACATGGATTAAAATGAGCGCAAATGTTAATTTGTAACTGCAATGGTGTCCTCATAATTGATTAACAAACTTTGGTATTTTACAAATGAGTTGGAAATTAACGTCTTCGATAATGGCGTGTATTTACGTAAACACTGACTCTCAGAAGAATTTTGGATATTAATATTGATCTTCAATATAAAGAGATTAAAATGAGTGCAAATACAGGCTTGTAGCTACCATAGTTTTGTAACAATTAATTATCAAACTTTGGTATTAGAAAGTTTGGAAAACAAAGTTTTCGAAAATGGCCTGTATTTTCGTAAAAACTTGCTTCTGGAAGAAGGAATAAACAGGAAATCCAAAAAATACCTTTAAATTTAACTTGGGACAGTAGCTAACTGTTTTCGAGTCATCTGAAATTGAAAAAACAAAGAATCGATGTTTTTTTTCAGTTTTTCGTGAATTTCTCCACGTACTGTCGTCGAGTCGCCTGCAATGAGCTTTAGAAATTGAAGAAAATGAACACATTCTCAACATTTTATACGTAACAGAGAAACGACAATTTTC